GCCAATCGAGCGCGCGCCTCGTGGCCAGTGCCGCAGCGGCCACCGAGCCGCTCGGCGACTGTGGCCCGCGCGGTGGCCCGCTGCAGTGCCCAAGAGCGACGGAGCTTGCCAATCAGATCGGTGTTGAGTTGATGGCTGGCACCCGAAGGATATCAGCATCATGTGTTCGAGCGGGGTTGGCTATGCGCTCGCGCGAGTATGCCGACGCCACTGTAGAGGACGCCACCCATCCAGACGTGTTTCGGCTTCGCCCTGGGCTCGCTGGGCGCGGGCTCCGATTCGTCTGGATAGGCCTTGCGCGCGCGCCCCGGTCCCGTGTTCGGCGCAATCCTCGCCCGGGCGAGCGGCCAGGGCCAATCGGGTCTCGTGACTGTATCCTGGGCCTGCCAAGTGTGTCTGAGAAGGATCCGCATAAAGTGGTGTTGGGCAATTCCCAGGCCGACTGGGCCGCCAGTCTGTTCCAACGTCTTGCTGCTCCCAACGTCCCCGTCATCATCGAGAATCCTCAGGGGTCCATGTTGTGGCTCCACCCTCGTTTTTGTTCTCTTATGCAGAAGTACAACATGTACAACATTGTTGACTGGGGCCATTGTGCGTTTGGATCTTGCTATCGAAAGAGAACCCGTCTGTTGTATGCCAATTGTGCGTTGAATCCTTTGGGCTCTGATAAGTGTCGGGGCCATGGTACGTGTTCCTACACAAAGCGGCCTCATACGGAAGTGGCAGGACAATATGTCTACGGCACGTTCCACTCTTCAACGGCATCAGCGTATCCTGTTAAGTTTTGTGATGAGGTCGCTCATCTGCTCTGCCACTCGTACTTCCCGTTGCCTAAATTGCCGCCTGGGTCATTGTTCTGTTGTTATGTGGGGGGGTGTTGGTTGGTCCGCCTGCTCTTGGTGGGGGCGTCGCCCGGGGCGGCCCATTGTGCCGCTAAGGATTGGTTGGCCGACTCACGTCCCCCTGATGGTTTTAAGATGTCGCCCCCCCTTCATTTATGACAATGGGCTTGGGCTTGGGGGCGGCTGCTTGAGCAGCGCTGGAGTGTGTTCGACAGTAAACAGCTGTTAATTTGCCCGTTTAACTGAGTCTGCTTGCGTCGGAAAAAAGGGGCACTCTTACAACACATGGCCCTGCGTGCTGGAGAATGTGTTCTTGAGTGTTTCCGTTCCGCTGCTTTTTTTGGGGCACGAAACCAAAAACTTGAAGACGGTTGTCCCTCCCTGCCGTCCCTCTCCTTTCATCTCTGCTGGCAAGTGTTGCCCCTTGCTCACAGGGGTTTGGAGGCGACTGCTTCAGCAGCGTTGGGTTGTGTTCGGCAGCAAACAGCTGTTAACTTGCCCGTTTAACGGAGTCTGCCCGCATCGGAAAAATGTGACACTCTTACAACATAGCTATGTGATAAAAAACTCTGCGCAAACATCCCACCGTCCCACCCGTAACTTCTTTGGCAAAGCCCATTCGGCCATGATTGCAGGTGCCGATTGGCAGATGCTGGCGCAGCTCTGCGGCCGCGCAGGCGCGCGAAATCTCGTTCGCTGGACGACCCGCTGGTTTGGCGCAGCTGATGCGGCGCGACTGCGATTGCCGATTGGGAATTCCCAGGGCGTCTCGAAGACCGTTCTGGCGTGCGGGTACATCGATGTGGGTCGGTGATCTTGGCTTTCGCGATATCATGATGACGTCGGCAACGGCGCCTGCGATGATGATAGTAGCGATGGTGGTGGCGATGTGGACGATGACGACGACAAGGCCAGTGTTGGCGCCGATGCTGGTAACGATGATGATTACGATGATGTCCATGTGTCGGTGACTTCTGATTCCGATGACGGTAACAGCGGTGACGCGATGGAGTGGATGAGGGTTATGGTGAGTAAGTGCACGCGCAGAAATTCAATAGATGTGGTGTGTGATGATGTGGTGAAACAGTGCTCCTGAAGAGCTCTAGCTTGCATCGCGTCGGAAATCATGAGTTTTGGGAGGGTTTCGGCACGCTCGCGTGTCGGCGCGAGCGTGCGCGGGTGGGCCGCGTGGTTTTATGTGATACGGTCTCGTGCAGTGGGCGCATGCTAGACCAACGCAGATACACCGCGTGGTGAGATGGCAATGGGGCTCCCTGTGATATTTCAAACATCCTGGGGGATATTTCAAACATCGTTTGATTCTCCTATGTCGTCAGCACGTGCGTTCAGGTAGAACTGATTGAGTTCTCTGATTTTATTTTGCAACGGTCGAAGCACGATTGTGTTATGTATCTTTTCGTCATGTGCGCGCGCGTGTGGATTTCTTGGTAGTCCCAAGTTGTGGCTTGCAATCCATGTGGTGCCATCGGTATGGTGCAAGCCTTGTGGCGCAATATGGACAGTACACTTTCCAAGACGGGATTCGGGCCGCAAGCTCCAATGCTCGAGCACACACTGTACCAACAAGCCCGCCACTTGCTTGCACAAGTCAAGAGGGACTGGGTGAAGTTGCTCCTCGGAGCATGCATGCGAATCCCAACAGAAGAAATGACGCGCGGCCCCTGCTTATGCAGATCCATGGCTCGAGCATGTGAGTGATTAGGCTGACGGCGACATCGGTGACGACCACGATTATGGTGATGATAGTGGTGGGCATGGTGACAAAGGCGGCGGCAACGGCAATGACGATGACGATGGTGTTAGCTTTCATTTGGTGATGGCGATGGTGATGTCGCTGGGCGGCGTCCATGTCTTGGCGGTGATGGTCACGATGGTGCTGATTGAGGCTGATGGGGGAGTGCGCGCGCAAAAAAGTTAGAACGCCTGAGACAGTTCCCCAAGCAGTTGGGTTCTTATCTTGGTTTCTTGCGTAATTGGGTGGGGTTCCCTGGTTTTCGCCAAGTTGGCGCCCGTGCCCGCTCCTGGACGCCTCGTGGGCGCCCTGCGGGCTGGTGCTGTGTTGAGGGTCTGCCGCGTGGGCGCCCGCGTCTGCTCGCGAGCGCCTCGCGCGCGCGCCCCGCGCGAGGTGGGCATCCCGAGGCTGTGCCACGTTGGCGCCGGTGCCCGCTCGCGGGGGGCGCCCCGCGGGCGCCGCACACCGTGCACCGCATGGCTCACGCACTGCAGAGCTCATACAGGCGGCCCAGATTGGTAGGTCGAGCCTGCCAGATCAAGGGTGCCCTCGTGTCCTGTGTCTTGCGACCCATGCCTCCTGCATTTCTGTGGAAACGTGGCCCTCGGAAGGGTCTTGTGTCCTCTCGCGTGTCCTCTCCATTCAAGTTCGACTGTACCACATACAGTCGGGGCGCTGAAGAAGGAGCCCTTGTCGTTGGGGAGGGGCTCGGTGTCCCTCGATTGCTTTACAGTTTGCCTTGGGTTTTCCTGAGGTGTCCCATGGGGAATCGGAGTTTAACTTATGAGAAAAAGGGCGACAATACGACACGCATTGTTTCCACCGCGTAGTGCCCACACATGTCTCACCTAGCCCCCTAGCCCATCCCACATACCTCGCGTAGCTTACCCCGAGTAGCTTGCACCTCCAATGCGCAACATGACTCCCAGTTTTTTGGGGTCCTCTTTGGCTGAAGTTTCTTTGAGCAAACAGTGTGGCTTGAATGTGTGATTGAAGGGTTTTGTTCGGACGTGCCTTGAGTTCCGATGGGTATCGGCGGATGTCGTCGTGCGCGCACGAGGACGCGCGCGTGTGGCCCGCATTGTATGTTTATGTTTTCACAGAGCTGGGTACGCGATGACTGTTTCCGACGCGCGTGCGCATGTGGGTCGTACTGCAGCATTGGGCAGCATTGCCCAGCAAGATACGGTTTTCATGTCATGTCCGCGAGTGCACGCGCACAGCAAGCTCGCATACCCCACTCGGGAAGCAGTCGAGTGGTTCGGCTGGTTGTCGTCGTTTTTGAGTAGCCATGTTCTGGCACGGTTCGACAGCCAATGGGTTTGGAAGGATTTTGACACGCGCGCGCAGCTGCGCGCGCACGTGGCCCGCATTGTTTTGTCGACAGGGGCTCTTTCATCACGCACTTGTTATATCAACGTATGTACACTTAGCTGAGTGTTTTTCGACAGGTATGAGAGAGGCGGGGCGATACAGGTGCTTACTTGGAAGATATTATGCGACATGTTGCAAAAGCGATGGGGCATGTTTAATATTAACACAGCATCTGGAGGGGAACCGAGGGGTAGAGTTTAATTATTGTGCGGAACTGTAGGCACACGGAGACGCCGCCGCGCCGTTCGTTCCGACGCGCGGCCTTACGTCTTGGGGAGGGCGCTTGAACCACCAGGGCAACCGCTGCCTCGGACGCGTTGGGCTTGCCGCGGTGCCGGCGTCGTCTACTTGGGCGCGGGGCGCAGGGCTTGCCGTGAGTTTGCCGTGGTGTCGGCATCGTCCACTTGGGCGCGTCCGGGGTTCACGGCGCGGCGACATGTAGGGTGCAAGCTGTGAGGTGCAACCGGTGTGGTGGTGCAGCCGGGGGGGGGAGGGGCAAGCTTCGTGTGGTGCAACAGCACACGGGGCGGGAAGCGGGGGGGGGGTCACCGGGCGAGAAAGCCCTGGAAGCGCCAGCCGCCGCCCAGAGCGGGCGCGAGGCGGTCACGGGCCGGCACCGCAGAGGAGGAGAAGGAGGAGGCAGGAAGAAGGGGAGCAGGATGAGGAGGAGGAGGAGGAGGAGGAGGAGGATGGGGAGCAAGAGGAGCCTGAGGAGGAGAAGAGAGGGAGGAGGAGCAAGACGAGCAGGAGGAGGAGGGCTGTCGGGTGGAGCGGGGCTGGGAGGAGGACCTCCCAGGAGAGGAGGGAACCTTCCCTCGTTTCCCCCTTCCTGGGCCTCCTGGGGGACCCTCGTCGCCACCGCTGGATTCGCCTCGAACTTCCTGATCAGAACACACCCCTGGCGACGTCCCGGGAGTGGCGGTCGGTATCGGTACCTTTTGGTTTCCCCAGGGACGACGGCAACGGGGACGACGAGGGGGAGGGCATGGAGGAGGCGGACGAGGTGTAGGGGAGTGCCTGGCCAGCCCCAGGACGCCGCCGCTGCAGAGGCGGGGGAGGAGGAGGAGGAGGAGGGCCCGGCGGAGCCCACCGAGCCACTGGAGATCCTCATCCAGAGCGAGGGCGCGGAGTTTGCGCGGCTGATGTCGGCGCACTTGACCAGCTGGTCCCAGAAGAAGAGACTGCTGGAGGCCCTCAGGAATCGGATCGTCAGGCTCGAGGCCGCGGAGCAGAAGCTCGCCAGGCTGGAGAGCCTCACTACGGAGGAGCAGGAGCTCTACGACAGCGTTGGCGTCGAGGAGCTTAAATCCAAGGCCAAGACGGTCACCAGCGCGGTGCAGCAGATGGTGGTTCGAAGAAGAAGAATCATACGAATAAGAGGAAGCACAATAATAATACGAGTCGTAATAATAACGATCGGAAAATAAGAAGCATACATCAGTTACGAGTAACAATGCGAATGCGAATCGTATTAATGATGGTGATGAAAAGGGTATTTTCCGAATGCTGTAATTAATAGTGCGAGTATCCAGAAAAATAAGAATCTTACAGATAATACGAAGGATAACAATCATACTAGCAGTACTAGTAATACTAGCAAGACTAATGCAACTGTGAAGAGGATAATCATACACATAAGAAACAATACTAAGGTGAAGAAGAAGAAGAAGAAGAAGGAGACGGAGAAGACGAAGAAGCAGCGACGGCACATACATACGACTCTCGACGGCAAAGGCAGATTTCTTTGACCTGTGTTGGAGTCCCCTGACGGCGCCTCCGGCGTCGCCGCTGGCGCGCTCAGCTCGCCAGGGAGGGTGGCGCAGCGCCGATCCAAGAACTTCGCGCGGACCTTCGAAAGTTTGTGTGTATGCGTTTTTTCTTCCTTCAGAGCGTGAATGACCTACCCCGCTTTCGCTTCCAGGCAAAACCAAGTCATACCACGCGCCTCCTCGTCAAGCGGCATGACCAGTACAGGCCGTAGTTTGGCATCGCTTGGTATCTCTTGGAAGCGAGGGTGGTCAAAAGCGGGGTAGGTTTGTTTGCCCCCTATTCCTCTAGGTGGAGGGCGGCGAGCTCACATCCGCCGAGAAGGCGGAGTGCGTGGAGCAGTTCGAGGGCAAGCTCGAGGCGCTCCGGGAGGAGCTGTCGAAGGCTGAGGCCGAGGGCAAGGCCAAGAAGGTCGCCGCCATCCAGCAACAGCAGGAAGTCCTGAAGAAGACCATGGCGTCTGTCAAGGACCGTCCCCGCGCAGACGCTGGCACGTCTGGTCTCATGTGAGAGGGGTCAGCGCTAACGGGGGCAGCCGATGCCCTCTGGCTGACCTGGGCCTGGGAGCCACGTGGGGCAGATTCCCTTTGTCCTCGGGCTGGGCTAAGACGAGGGTAAATCCGCTCCCGAGCCTTTTGGAACGCTCGCAGAGCGTTCTGGAATGCTCTGAGAAGGCCGCGACGCCCGATACATCCCCAAGAGCCGCCATATCTCAGTGATCGCAGGCGATCTTTCTCCCCGAACCATTGACTTTTCGACGAAAACGTGAAGCCGCTCAGAAAAGGAGGGGAACCTTGGCAAGAGCGCGTTCTGTGGTCGCTTGGAGGGGGGTTGGAACCGGACCTCCCCCCCCCTGGATGGAAAGGGGCAGGGGGGTTCGAACCCCCCCCCTCGAACCCCCCCCCCCTCCCGTGACGGAGGGTGGGGGGGGTTCGAACCCCCTCCCCATCCATTCCCCCCCCCCCCTCCCCTACTTCTCCTCTCTCCCTCTCCCTTGGCCGGCGCATGCGTCGGCGGCGGCTGGCGGCGGCGGCGGGGACGACGATTTCGTTTTCTGGGCTTGCGCCAGCGCCTGCAGCGGCGGGCGGCGGCGGCGGGGAGCGTCGACGAAGACGACAGTAGTGGTGGTGGTGGTGGTGGTGGGTTGTGGTGGAAGTGATGGTGTTGGTGGTGGTGGCGGTGGTGGTGGTGGTTGTGGTGGTGGTGGTGTGGTGGTTTGTTGTGGTATGGTGGTGGTTGTGGTGGTGGGTGGTGGTGGTGGTGGTGGTGGTGTTGGTGGTGGTGGTGGTGGTGGGTGATGATGGTTGTGGTGGTGGTGGTTTGGTGGTGGTTTGGTGGTGGTTTGGTGGTGGTGTGGTGGTGGTTTGTGGTGGTGGTGGTGGTGGTGGGTTATGGTGGTGGTGGTGGTGGTGGTTTGGTTGTGGTGTGGTGGTGGGTTGTGGTGGTGTTGGTGGTGGTGGGTTGTGGTGGTGGCGGTGGTTTGTGTAGGTGGTGCTGGTAGTGGTGGTGGTGGTGGCGTTGGTGGTGGTGGTTTGTGGTTTGGTGGTGGGTTGTTCTGCTGGTAGTGGTGGTGGTTGTGGCGGTGTTGGTGGTGGTGTGGTAGATTGCGGTGGTGGTGGTGGGGTTTTGTGGTGTTGGTGGTGATTGTGAGTTGTGGTGGTGGTGGTTGTGGTGGTGGTAGTGGCTGTGGTGGTGGTGGGGGTTGTGTGGTGGGTTGGTGGTGGTAGTGGTGGTGGGTTGAGGCGGTGGTGGTAGTGGTAGTGGTGGTGGTGGTGGCAGTGGTGGTAATTGTCGCTGTGTCCCCGCCGTCGCCGGCGCCATGGGGGGGGCGGGGTTTTGAACCCCCCCCCTTAGGCTGCCTCTGGTCATCGTCGCTGCGTCCTCGCCGTCGGCGCTGCTGGCGGCCGCCAGCGCCGGCGCCGGCGCCGCCGAGGGGGCGGGGTTTGAACCCCCCGCTCCCTTGGGAAGAGGGCGAGGGGGAGGTTCGGGAGGGGGGCGGGTTTGGGGTGGAGGGGAGTCCCTCTGGTTTTGATCGACGGCGTCAAGTGTTGGGGGGGGGCCCACCCCCCGGGCCGAAACGCGCCGCCGAATGTTCCCAAGGCGAGCGCCCGTGAAACGCGCTCTCTCGAACCGCGGGATACACCCCAAGGGGGTTTCTAGGACGCACCCCTATTGAGGATGGACGCCCCCCATTGTATATCCCAGGGTTGGGCCCGAAACGCAAAAATTCTTGTCAATTCGAATACCCCACGAAGCCTGGGATATGGGACGACATATCCCCCGTTCAGAGGTTCTCGTTTTATCCTCACCCAGATTCATCTTCGTCCTGGCTTCGTCTTACTACAGCCCTCCGCTGACCCAGGTGTGGAAGCTGCTGAGTGGCCGACTGGGCCTCGCGGCAGAGCCTTGGCCCGCCTGGGCTTTGTGCTGACCCGAGTGATTGCGCCCCCGAGCACGGCAGGGACAGTCGGACGGGGCTATAGGACGAGGATCAATCCGTTCCAGAGTGTTCCGGGCGGGACGCTCTCAGAGCGTGCCGGAACGTTCTGAGAAGGCCGCGGATCCCGAGATATCCTCCAGAGCCGCTGGATCTCAGGGATCCCCGATCTATCCTCCCCCGGTTGATCCTCGTCCTGGCTTCGCTTTAGACACGGGGCGGCGCCGCGAGACGACGCCCCGCCTCCCCCAGGCCATCCCACCCCCCGAGGAGGCCCTCCCGGACGCCCCTGGGAGAGGCAGATTCCCCTCGTGCGCACGCCGGTCGTTGAAAATAAGTATTTTTCAATTCCCAGATCCCGATCTATTGGGCTGGCCTCGGTGGGGGCTCCGGAAGTGGAGTTTTCTATACCCCCCTGTCCCCGGGTACCGAAAAACGTCCGAAATGACTTCAGAAATATCCCCGTGTACTGAATAACGTCGGAAATGACGTCGGAAATAACGTACCCCCCCCCTGCAGAGCGAAGCTTGAGCGAGCTCAAGTCCACGCTCTCGGAAACTCACACTCCGGATCGGCGGATTTTAGGTGCCTTCCTACTTCAAGAGTCGAGTGGTTTTCCCTCTTCCCCCGTCCTAGGGCTGGCGGGAGCCCAACCGACTTCCAACGCCTTCCTACTTCACGGTTCTACGTACCCACTTTTTCCGACCGACGGGTCTTGTCGCGAATTTGTAGGTCGCGTGTCGCTCCGCCAGTTTTGACCCACCACGCTTCGGCGCGACTTGTTTGGTGCAGTCGCAGCGGAGCCCAGCGGCAAGACGAGGGAACGACAGACGAAGACGACGACGGCGGCGGCGACGACGATGGAGAGGAGGGAAAGGAAGGGCGAGGGGGCACGCGCGACACGCTATCCGCTTCCCAGCCCCCAGACTTCAAGACGTCCCCAGGGCATTCCGAGCCTCCCCCGCCCCGCGGAGCGGAGGCACGTGCGCCCTCCGCCTGCAGGGCGCAGCGGCGTGTCGCAACGGGGCCGCCCCGCTGCGGCACGCTGGGCCGAAGCTCCTGCTGACCGTACTGCAAGGACGCTGAGATGAGGCCCGCTGTGAGCTCAGGAGGGGCTCCACTTCTCGGGCCGCTCCCAGAACTCCTGCCGTGTGGAGCCTGCTTGTGGCCTAGGCCCGCCGTGGCCAGAAAACGCCCCTGCGTTCCCCAGTATGCGTTCCTCGGGGTCGCAAGGGTTTTGCATAAGAGACGCCCACCGCGCCTTCTGGGAAGGCCGGCGCCCTCCCCATCCCCACCCTGGCCCCTCACTGGCAAGCTCGATCTGCTGCCGCCCCGGGTCATGCCCGACCCTCCACCCCCCCCCCCCCCCCTAGACGCCCCTAGCGGTCTCGGGAGGCTCCAAACGGGCCACAGACGTAGGAATGCCCTCCTCCTCCTCCTCCTCCTCCTCCTCCTCCTCCTCCTCATCCTCCTTGCTCTTGTCGAATCGGCTCCTCCCTCGAGGGAGGGGGCGGCTCGTATCCCTAAGAGGCCTTGGAGAGGCCTCCCGCGGCATCCCAACGAACATCCTAGAGGTCTATGATCCATAACCCAGGCACAGTGGCGAGATGGGCCGAAGGTCATAAGATAGAGGCGGCTCGATGTGGACCTCGATTTTCTCCACTCCCCGAGGTCGCCGAAGTATCGCCGATGCATTGGCGATCCTCGGGCCCCATCTACTCGGGCCCCATCTACTCGGACCCCAGCTGGGAGACCCTGTCGAATCGGCTCCCGAGCCTGAGCGTAGTCCACAGAAGGCCGACCGGCGCATGCGTGCCGCCGTCTTGAAGCTCTTGCCAAGCTCTAACTGATGGAACGGGGCAATGGGGCTCGAAACTCCAGGGGGCGAAGGACAACAGCAGCACGGAACACGGCAAGGGAAGAGTCCGCCTACGGGGGAAGAGGGGGGGCAAGGCCTTTTTCCTCCACGAGCGAAGCGGGCGGGTCATGCAGGCGCCGTCGCCGACACCCGGCGCGGAGCCCCCTGGTCGGGCACCCTGGGGAGCTTGCGGCGCGCAGCCAGCCCTGCCAGCCCGGCGCTCCCCGCGGCGCGCCGCCGAGAGGACGCGAGCGCGGTGCCGCTCCCGCCGCTCCGGCACGAGGCGGACCTCAGCAAGCTGCACCGCAGGCGCGCCGACCTCCTGCGGATCGAGAAGGAGAAGAAGGGGAAAAAACACACAGACACAATTAATCGTCGACTCCCAGGAAAATATAGGAAAATATGGGAATTGGGCGGGAAGACAAAAACCCAGAAAATACGGGGAAATATGGGGAATCATTTTCTTTGTGTGTATTTATTTGTGTGTCCTTGGTCCCCTTGAAAGGAGAAGAAGGGGCACTACACGATGGACGAGCTGAAGGCCATCGGCGACCGGCCCGAGATAGAGGAGGCCATCGAGGAGCTGGAGAGCAGAAGCCGCGGCTGGCTGGAGGAGGGGGGCAGGGAGGCATTCTGGCTGGTGTGGGTTGGCTGTGGTGCACTCTCGGGGGCCCTGCTGCTGGGTGCGGGTTCCAAGCCATCTGTGGACCCGAGGGGGCTGAGGAGGGAGCAGGGGAAGGGGCAGCAGAGGCGCCGGGGGGACAGGACGACGACGTGTTCCTGCAGCGAGTGCAGGCGTGCAAAGCCAAGGCCACCGCGGCCAGGAAAGGGAGCTCGGGCGGGGGTGGCGCCCAGCGGCCTGCGTCCAGCGGGGGCAGCGGCAGCGGCGGCTTCACCAAAGTAGGGGGCAGTGGCGCCAAGAAGTCCGTAGCAAAGGCCTCTGGGCCTGCGACGAGGAATGCGTTCTCGGCACTGGGGTGAACCCAGCCTCGGCGCCTGGATGTGACCGCCCGCGCGCGTGCCATCTCGTGCTGTAGAGCGGATCGGCGTCCGCGGCTCGCCTGAGCTGCGTAGCAGACCGCCGTCCTGCTGCTTTGGCGGCGCCAGAATAAGACACCAGGGCAGGGAGGAGGACGGGCCGGACAGGCCCAGGATCGAGCCACATCCGTTCCAGAGCGCTCCAGGACGCTCCAGGAGCGTCCCGGCAGGCTCTGAAACGACCGCGGCGCCCGATGCATCCTTCAAAAGCTGCCGATAATCAGAGCGTGAATTACCTCCCCCGCTTTCGCTTCCAGGCAAAACCACGCCATACCACGCGCCTCCTCGTCAAGCGGCCTGACCAGTACAGGCCGCAATTTGGCATCGCTTGGTATCTCTTGGAAGCGAGGGTGGTCAAAAGCGAGGTAGGTTTGTTTTCCCCCTAGATAATCCGAGATTTCCGATGTATATCGGTTCGATTTTGTCTCGATTCTGTTTTCGTCTCGGGGGCGGGGCGGCTCGGCTATGGCGAGCGTGCAGGCCCGCAGGGTGGCGTGCGAGGCTCTGTCTTGCCCGCGGCCGCTCTCGGGGGTCTCTGGGCCCAGGAGCTCCGGGGAAGCCAATATGCTTCACGCCAGGGCGGGAGGAGGAGGAGGAGGAGGAGGAGGAGGAGGAGGAGGAGGTGGAAGGTGGAAGGTGAGCCGAACGTAGTCTGCCGCAGGGAGGGCCCTAGCCTGGCCAGGATGAGGCTGGCAGACGCGTGATCCCCCGTGCTGCTGGTGACGCTGCAGGATCCCTAAACAGTACGCTCCAGAAGGAGGAGAAGCAGCAGGAGCAGCAGGCGCGACAGAAGCATCAGCGAGAAGAAGAAGAAGAAGACGACCAGGCGGCGGCGGAGGAGGAGGAGGAGGAGGAGGAGGAGGAGGAGGAGGAGGAGGAGGAGGAGAGGGAGGAGGAGGAGGAGGAGGGGGAGGCGGAAGAGCATAATTACTCAGGAGGGGGATGATGCCGCTGAGGAAGAGCAGGGTGAGGACGGTGCGGGGGGGGAGGGGGAGAAACAGGATAAGCAGGAAGAAAACGAAGAGGATGAGGAGTAGTGGGGAGAAGGGGGAGCCGGATGCGGACGTGAAGTGAAGCGAGGGAGGCAAGGAGGGAGGGGGGGGGGGCGTGGGCGAAGGAGGGGGGGGGGGAAGGGGCGAGCTGGGAGCGTGAGGGAAACTGAGGCCAGGAGCAGGAACGGGGGGCGGACGTGGGCGGCGAGACGCGCGGGCGAGAGTGGGAGCTGGAGCAGGAGCGGGAGCTGCATCGGCGGTGGGAGCGGGAACAGGAGGAGGTGCAGGACCAGGAGGAGGAGGGAGAGGAGGAGGAGGAGGAGGAGGAGGAGGAGGAGGAGGAGGAGGAGGAGCAGCAGCGCTGCAGGACGACGATGATGATGATGATGATGATGATGATGATGATGATGATGATGGTGGTGGTGGTGGTGGTGGTGGTGGTCATAGTGGTGATGATGATGACGATGATGCTGCTGCTGATGATGATGGTGACGATGATCATGATGCTATGATGATGCTGATGATGATGATGGTGATGATGAAGGTGGTGGTAGTGGTCATAGTGGTGATGATGATGCTGCTGATGATGATGATCATGATGGTGACGATGATGATGCTATGATGATGCTGATGATGATGCTGATGATGATGCTGATGATGATGATGGTGATGCTGATGCTGCTGATGATGATGAGGAGGAGGAGGATGAGGATGAGGATGATGAGGGTGATGATGCTGATGATGCTGATGCTGATGCTGATGCTGATGCTGCTGATGATGATGCTGATGATGATGATGATGATGATGAGGAGGAGGAGGAGGAGGAGGAGGAGGAGGAGGAGGAGCAGTATCACAGGGGTGTGGACCGGACGGTCTTGCACTGTCCTGGGGCGCGTGTGGCTGAAATGGGGGTTCCCAGTGCGGATTGCAGCCTTTGCTCGTCGCCCACGCAGCCCATCCGCGACCCGCCCCGCGGCCCAACTTGGACCCACCCCGCGACCCTCTAGCGCTAACCAGCTCGGCTTTCTGCACAAACAGCAATGACGCCCGCGGCAGCAATGACGCCCGCGGCGCTTACGGCGAACTATGGGCGCCCCCCCTCGCCTTTTGGAAACGCCCATGCGGCCAAACATTGGGCCACCATCTTGCCAAACTATCGGGTTATGTGTTTCCCCAGCCGCTGTAGAACCCGTCGGGAGAATCTATCTATCTATCCATCTATCTATCTATCTATATATATATAGATGGGAAAAGAGGGGGGGATCAAAGGGTGGAGAAGGATGACTCCGAGGAGGAAACATAGGCTTTCGGGGCCTCCACGAAGCCTTTAGGGGGCTTCCAAAGGCCTTCTGAAGTCTTTTGGGCCCACCTTGGGGTCCTTGTATGTAGACGTTTTGGCGACCTCTGGGCGCCTCTTGGGGCCTCCTGGCCTTTGGAGGCCGCCTTTGTGTGCCCGCTGGGCCGTCGTGAGGCGCTTTCTGGAGGCTTCAGACCAGTGTTGGAGGTCTGTGGTGCCGTCTTGGGGCCGTCTTCGGGCCGTTTTGGGGCCATATTGGTCCGTCTAGGGGCCCTCTTGGGGGCCTCTTTGGCCGTCGTGGGGCTGTCGTATGCTGTCGTGAAGGCTCCTAGGCTGTCTTCGGATGTTGGAAGCCAGAAGTGGCCAGAATGCGAACACGAATTACGGAAACACATAGGAGGTACTTAACGATGCTAGCTTCCTGGAGGTCCTCTTGGAGCCCTCTTGGGGCGCCTTGGGCGTCACTGTGGGCCGTCTGGAGGGCATCTTGGGCCATCTCGGAGCCAGTTTGGCCCAACTTGGACGCTATCTTGGCTCTCTTGGGGCCATGGTGGGTGTCCTTGAGGTGTCTTCGGGCCATCTTGTAGGCCATGTCGGGCATTTAGGTGCGACCTTGCCTTTGCCTCACACCTCACCCCTGTGGCCGACTGGCCAAGACAAAGGCCACAGGAACCCTTAACCATGCCCCAAACTGCAGTATATCCAACGTGCCAATGCCCCTTGTGGCAAACGTGGGGGCCCCCGATCAAAGACGCTTGCGACAAATCAGCGCCGACATGCGCCGCCCCCCCGCCTTTGGAAGCGCCTGCGTGGCCAAACGTTGGGCCGAAGACTGGCCGAGTTATTGGACTACGTGTTCCCCCAGCCGCTGCGGAAGCCTTTGGGAGGGAGCCCTTGTGGAAGGAAAACGTAGAAAGAAAGGAGGGGATCGGAGAGAGGAAAAGAAGGGAGGAGGAGGAGGAGGAGGAAGAGAAGGAAGGAGGAGGAGGAGGAGGAGGAGGAGGAGGAGGAGGAGGAGGAGGAGGAGGACGAGGAGGCACGGGCGGCCTCCTGTGGACCTCTTGGGACCTTCGCAGGGTTCCTCGGATGCTGGGGGGCCTCTCGAGGGGCCTCACGAGACCCCCCATGAGAGGCCTGCCGGCCTTCGGAGGCAGTCTTGGGAGCCCCCTGTCGGCACGAACGAAAAATGGGTACACCTTAGGCGATGCTTAAGAAAACTTGAGTTTTCGTCCAGAGTCTCGATTATTCTTAACTTTTCAATGTGAATCCTAAGATTTGAATGGACATGTTGGGTTTTTACTCAAGTTCTGAGACTATGAATTTCTTAACCCATGATTTCTTAAGCATTTCGCAGGGTGTACGGAAAGAACGGGCACAATGCCCAACAGCAGTCCCTGTTCATTTTGGACAGGACTCGCTGTCCGCGCCGCCGCGGCCTGTGTCCGTTCGAGACAGAAGGCCGCCTGCCCAACAGCGACCGCTGTTGGTCTGGGACAACATCTGTTGTTGGGCAGTGTACCCATCGTTTCCGTACCCATTTCGGGCGTCCAAACCTTCTGGGCCGTAGTGGAGCTCTCTTTGGGCGCTTCATGGCCGTATCGGAGGTCTGTGGGGCCGTCTTGGGGCTCTCTTGGGACAGTCTTGGGGGCCTCTGGTGCAGTGAGTGTGCCCCTCTGGCCCGTGTTGGCGTCCTCTTGGAGGCTTCTGGGGACGTCCTGGCGCTATCTTTGGGGCGCATGGGGCCGTCTTCGGATGTCGGACGCTTTGAACATGTGAGAACGCGACCTGTTTGGAACTCCGAGAGGAAGTCACTTCTTGGGCCGCCTGGAGGTCCTCTTGGGACCTTTGGGTGCGTCTTGAGGCAATCTTGCGTCGCCTTGTGTTCATCTTAGGCCGTCTAAGGGGCATCTTTGGGCTAGTTTGGGTTCTCTTGGGGCGCTCGTGGCCGTCGTGGAGGCGTCTTGGGACCGTCTTGGAGACCAGAATGGCCATCTGGAGGCATATGGGCCATCCTGTAAGGATATCCCAGGCGAAGCGCATGTTTTGGGACACGGTTTCGCGATCAGCCGAGAGCCCATTGGGATCCGCCTCCCCCTGCGCTTGCCACAGGGGCACACGGAGTGCCGGGGGCTCGGTAGTTTTAGTTCCCAGACATCCTGTGGTGTTGGGTCTTCGTTTTGAAGAGACGGTCCCCGCGTTCTCCTCCTTCCTCCCTCCTCCCCCTCCCCCCTCCTTCTCCCTCCCTGCGTTTCACCCACCCAGTACAACGCTTCGTGGCCGCATAGGTAGCTCCACCGAAGCCCCCCGCGCCACCGTCCGCATGCGTCCCGGAACACCCAATTTGGAATTTTCGCCCACCCAGTACAACGCTTCGTGGCCCCATATGGAGCTCCTGGGACCTTCGGCGGAGCTCCCTTTTATGGGGCCACGAAACGATTGAAGGGTGTGCCGAAATGCGTGTGCGTGACGCATGTGAGGCGTGTGCCCAAATGGGTGTGCGTGACGCATGCGGGCTGCGCCACTGGGACCTTCGGCGGAGCTCCCTACGGGGCCACGAAGCGTGTGAGGGGTGTGCCGAAATGGGTGTGCGTGACGCATGCGGGCTGCGCCACTGGGACCTTCGGCGGAGCTCCCTATGGGGCCACGAAGCGTGT